CCCCAAAATTCTCCACCCCTTTTGTCTTTTCTTTTTTAGAAAACTTATATTGAAGCATAACATACATATAAAAAGGTGCACACACTGTACACATGGAGCTCAACAAATTCTTAAAAAGGGAACACAAAGTATGTAATCAGCACCAAGACCAAGAAAGAGACCACTACGAGCCCCTGGATGCCCCTCATGCTCACTCCAGTTATCCCATAAAGGTTTTGAGGGTTAGGGTCAAGACATGAGAACCCCAGGAGTGGGACAGGACTTTGCCAAAGAGCAACCTGTGGGCATGTCACTTCACTGAGCAAAAGCTGCCAACCTTGAGGGGGATATTCCACCCGATCAGAAAGGTCTGCAAATGGACTCTGGCATAAACCTGAGGGCTACAGCCTGGAAGTTTGCAAAGGGAATCCAATGATCAAAGGATCTCATCCCAGCAGATAAGAGCAGTTTGCTATTCTAAGCCTGAGGCAATGTTCCTATCTCTCTCCTGAGTTCCTGTCTCAGTAAATGAGAAACTAGATAAAGTAGACAGAAGTACCTGATCTCTTTTGTTCCCAGTTAGATTATAGGCTTTACTGCTAACCCACCAGCTTGTTTTTTTTCTGAGACAGAGTCTCTGTTACCCCAGCTACAGTGCCATGGCATCAGCCTAGCTCACAGCAACCTCAAACTCCTGGACTCAAGCAATCCTTCTGCCTCAGCCTCCCAAGTAGCTGGGACTACAGGCATGCACCACCATGCCAGGCTAATATTTTCTATGTATGTTTAGTTGGCCGATTAATTTCTTTCTATTTTTAGTAGAGACGAGGTCTCACTCTTGTTCAGGCTGGTTTTGAACTCCTGACCTTAGGTGATCCACTTGCCTCGGCCTCCCAGAGTGCTAGGATTACAGGAGTGAGCCACTCCATCCGGCAAACCCACATGAAATCACTGTAATCTATAACATGAAAAAGATAATAAAAACCAGTGCTACACTTCAGTCAGTACCACCTGGCTCACGGGAATGCTGGTGGTACCCTGATCTCCCCACACCCTTTCACCTTACTTTTTGTGTCCATGTCTCTGTCTCTCCCATCTCTTATATCGGAGGCCTCACAAACCCCAAATAAAAGGTAACCCCAGATTGAAAAATTTTTTGAAGATTTGTAGCAATTTGAAAAAAACTAGCACATGAGCCACCATCCTCTTCCTCCTCCTTAGCCTACTCAATGTGATGATGAGGATGAAAACCTTTATGATGATCCACTTCCACTTAATGAATAATAACCACATTTTCTCTTCCTAATAATTTTATTTTACTATTATTATTATTGTTTTAGAGACAGGGTCTCTTTCTGTCACCCAGGCCTGGGTGGAGTGCAGTGGCATATCATAGCTCACTGCAGCTTCAAACTCCTAGGCTCAAGCAATTCTCTTGCCTCAGCCTACCAGGTCAGTAGGAGGCACACGCCACCACAGGCATATGCAACCACACCCAACTAATTGTTTTTATTTCTTCTTTTTTTTCTCTAAGCCAGAAAACTTTGACATTTTCCTTTTTTATTTTTAAGAAATGGAGTATATGTTGCCCAAGCTAGTCTCAAACTTCTAGCTTCAAGTGATCTTCCTGCCTTGGCCTCACAACATGCTAGCATTACGAGTGTAAGCCAGAACACTCAGCCTGCCAGACTGTGTTCTAAAGTGACTGAATCATTTTACATTCCCACCAGCAGTCTATGAAGGTTTTGATTTCTCCACTTCCTTGCCAACATTTGTTTTCTTATTCTAGCCATCCTACTGGGTGTGAGGTGGTATCTAGTTTTGGTTTGATTTGCATTTCCCTAAGACTTAATGATATGGAGCATCTTTTCATATCTTCTCTGACATTTCTATATATTCCTTGAAGAAATATCTACTCAGATCATTTTCCCATTTTATTTTATTTATTTATTTATTTTTGAGACAGAGTCTTGCTTTGTCACCCAGGCTAGAGTGAGGTGCCATGGCGTCAGCCTAGCTCACAGCAACCTCAAACTCCTGGGCTCAAGCAATCCTGCTGCCTCAGCCTTCCGAGTAGCTGGGACTACAGGCATGCACCACCATGCCCAGCTAATTTTTTCTATATATATTAGTTGGCCAATTAATTTCTTTCTATTTATAGTAGAGATGGGGTCTCGCTCTTACTCAGGCTGGTTTCAAACTCCTGACCTCTAGCAATCTGCCCGCCTTGGCCTCCCAGAGCGCCAGGACTACAGGCGTGAGCCACTGCGCCCAGCCCATTTTCCCATTTTAAAAATTGGGTTTTTCGTTGTTATTGTTGAATTATAAAAGCTTTTTTTTTTTTGAGACAGAGTCTCACTCTGTTGCCCAGGGTAGAGTACCATGGCATCAGCCTAGCTCACAGCACCTCAAACTCCTGGGCTCAAGCGATCGCTGAACGTGCGCCCTCAGCCTCCAAGTTGCTGGGAAACTACAGGCACGCGGCCACCATTGCCCAGGCAGGGTAATTTTTTTTTCTTTTTTCGTTTTTTCTTTTGTTTTTTATTCGTGTTTTTTTTTGTATATTTTTTATTCTTTTCTTTTTTTTTTTCGTCTTTTTTCTTATCTTTGTTGATTCTGTTTTGTTTTTTTATATGATTATATTATTAGTTGGCAATTAATTTCGTTTATTTATTAGTAGAGACGTGGTCTTGGCTCTGGCCTCCTTTAGGCTGGTTTTGAACTGGACCTTGAGCAATCCACCGTGCTCAGGCCTCTCCAGAGTGCTAGGATTACGGCATGGGCACCGCCACTCCCGGCCCTTATCTTTCTTATACTTCTTTAATAATAATGTTTTTCCATCATTTTTGAATTGTTCATTGGTAGTGTATTGAAATACAATTGTTTTTTTTTTTTTTTAGACATGAGTCTCGCTTTTGTTGCCAAGTAGGAGTGAGTGCTCATTGGCCGTGCAGCGTAGCTCACAGCAACCTTCAAACTCCTTGCTCAAGCAATCTTGCTGGCCTCAGTCCCTAAGTAGCTGGGACTACAGCATGCGGCCCCATGGCCAGCTCATTTTGTCTGTATATATATTTGGTTGGCAATTAATTACTTTTCTTTTATTTAAGGTAAGGATGCGGTCTCACTCCGTTGCTCAAGGGCTGGTTCTAATCCTGACTCAAGCTTCCCACACCTGCAGCTCCGGAGTTGGCTAGGCAGTTACAGGCGTGAGGCCACCTTTACGATCGACTACAATTGACTTTTTTTTTTTTTTTTTTTTTTTGCACAGAGAACTCACTCTGTTTCCCAGGTATGAGGGTTGAGGTGCCATTCGGCCATCATCCTAGGCTCACAGGAACCTCAAGACTCCTGGGCTCAAACGATCCTACTGCCTCAATCCTGAGTAGCTGAGACTACAGGCATGAGCTACCATGCCCGGCTAATTTTTTGTATATATATTTTTAGTTGGTCAATTAATTTCTTTCTATTTTTAGTAGAGACAAAGTCTTGCTCAGGCTAGTTTTGAACTCCTGACCTCGAGCAATCCACCCGCCTCGTCCTCCCATACAATTGACTTTTGAATGTTGATATTATATCTTGCAACACTGCTGAACTTCTTTATTAGTTTTAATAGTTTTTTTAGTGGATTCCTTAGGATTTTCTATATGTTAATCATGTTATCTGGAAATAAAATGGTTTTATTTCTTCCTTCCAATCTAGATGCCTTTCATTTCTTTTTCTTGCCTAACTACCCTGGCTAGAACCACAGTACAATGTTGAACAGAAGTGGTGAGAGTGGACATTCCTGTCTTATTTCTGATCTTAGGGCGAAATCATCTAGTCTGTCACCATTAGGTGGATGGTGGCTGTGAGTTATTCATAGACACCTTATATTAGGTTGAGGAGGTTCCCTTCTATCCATCACTTGTTAAGTATCTTTATCATGAAAGAGTGTTGGATTTTGTCAAATGCTTTTTCTGCATCTACTGAAATGATTGTGTAATTTTTGTTTTGTAGTCTATTGATATAATGCATTCCATTAACTGATTGTTGAATGTTAAACCAATCACACCTTCCTGGGATACATCCCGGTTGGCCATAGCGTATAATTCTTTTTGTATGTGGCTGATTCAGTCTAATAGTATTTTTGTTGAGGGTCTTTGCATCCATACTTATAAAAGATACTGGGCTGTAGTTTTCTTTTCTTTTTTTAAGACACAGGGTGTCGCTCTGTTGCCCAGGCTGTGGTGCAGTGGTGTGACCACAACTCACTGCAACCTCGAACTCCTGGGCTCAAGCAATCCACCTGCCTCAGCCTCCCAAGGAGTAGGGACTACAGGGGCACACCACCACATCCAGCTAATTTTTAAAATTTTGAACCCTTTATGACTCTCCCAAACAACTCGCTCCCACTGGACACTGGCAGTGACTCACCTAAACCCAGACTTGCTCTACTATGTTCAATTCCCCTAGCATCAGTGGATTCTCCCAGTTACTGAGGGAGCTGTTAGGTCCAGAGCCTAGAGGGAGACACAAAAGCCTCAGGTGTAGCAAAATGCTGTTTATTTGAGCATCTGGGTACAGATAGGTGGAAGCCAACAAAAGCGTCCACACCAGGAAGGGGAGAGCAGTGGGCTTTATGGGAGGTTGGGATGGAAGTTTGGGGAGGGTGAATTTTTTTCTGAACACTAACTGGTTCCTGCCAGTGCCGCCGCAACCATGTGTGGTCAGAGTTAGATTTACAACCTCCAGTCCTGCGGCCACTGTTTCACAAGTCTTATGATCCCTGTCTTAAGTTCTCCATCATACTGCATTCCTTCCTATACATACTTTCTGGATTCTCACCCTGCGCAGGCCTAACAGGAACGAATAAAATGTGGCCAGTGAAGGAAAAGGCATTCTGCGCCTTGCTCACCCAGAATCCTCCGCCAAATGCCCGGCCCGGATACTGCTCCACCGGACGTTAGACATCGCTTCTCCCCGTACCCCAACGCCATGCGAACCCGCCCACGCCCAGCAGCAGCGGATATCGAAAATCTCACGTGCGTCGATGCTGTCGGGAACCTGCTCGTCCTCCTCGCCCGCAGTCACATCCCTCGCCTCGCCCTCATCCCCAGAGCGCTGGTAGATGAGGAGGTTGGCGTTCTCCAGAAGGCCGCCCACCATGGTCAGCATGCACTTCCGCTCCCGCAAGCGCACTTCCGGGGAACGGGAAGGAGGGCCTGGCGGGAAGGCAGGGTAGCGTGAGGGGCACGCAGCCCTGTGGGGACTCGTGCTGGGGTTTGAGGGAAGCGGTGACATCAGCGTGTTGGCTGCTCCGACCGACCGGGGAAAATGCTGATCACTCAAGGGAAGGGACCCGGGTGGTTCTGGGTCCTGAGAGCCCGTCCTTAGGGAGCCAGAACGCAGAGGCCAAGGCCGGTTCTCAGGGGGCACTAAAGGCTACTTCCTCCGGGAAGCCAGGCGGGCCGGGCGCTGCCATGCCCAGGCCGGGTGCCTCTAGCCTGGCAGGGTTCACAGTGTTCCCGGGTGACGCTCCTGCCCTGCCTCTCCCACTGCACCATAGGCCTGGAAGTGCCGAGACCCAGTGCTCAGACTTGCAGACACTTGTTAAGAGTTTGTCAAGTGGATAAATGACGACGAAAAACTGACAGCTTGAAAGCTGTGGAGGTGGGGTAGGGGTGGGGCCCTTAGGAAGTGCCACAGTCATCTGTGCATTTCAAAAGAAGGACAGTGACCGGGCAGGGGCCCACGGAGACCCTCAGACCGTACACTGTGTAAGGAGATAACGGACCATGAAGGAGGATCTCGTAAATTGTGAGTCCTGAAAGAAGGACGAGCGTCCAGGATGAAGGGCACAGTCACACCTCCCTGCCTTTGCTCAAGCTCTTCTCTTCACCCAGATCGCAAGTCCTTCCCATTTCTCCATCTGTGGGGATCCTGATCATCACCAGCTCAGAGAAGCCCTCCTCTACTCACAGCTTATTGCTCCCTGTTCTCCATCTCCCAACACGCTAGTTGGGCCGGTGACTACAAGGACAGAGAAGGTAGCTACAAGGACAGAGAAGGTAGCGACTTCAGGTCTGAGAAGAGGGTTCCTGGTGTCGCAGAAGCTGGGGCAGGGGGAAGAGGCCACGCCTGCCCCTGCCTGCCGCTGCCTCTCCATGCGACCTAGCCATGACCTAAGTGGCTCAGTCTCACTCTCATGCCAGCCTCATCTTTCCTGGCCCAAGCCAGCGCGCCCCGCCTACTCCCTGCCCAGTCCAAACTCCAGGCCTGGGCGAGGCACTACTAATCCGTGGCTGCACAGACCCGGGCAGCCTCTCAGTGAAAAGCACCGTGAGCTCCCGAAGCGCAAAAAAGACCTGCGAGTGAACTATGCAGCCGGACAGACTCGGAGTGCGCCTAAGCGCTATGGCCTATGGGCTCCTGCTTCTCCTCTTTGGTGTTCAGGGTGAGGCTCCCGCCGGGGGAGACAGGGATCAGGGTCGGATATGTCCAATTCTGCAGACGCAGAACCTGAGACTGCAGAAGGGAAGACGCTGGGGAGGTAGAAGTGCGTGGAGATGAGAGCGGGGGAACCGTGGGCTCCCTCCCACATCTCCCGCTGCCCAGGGTGGGCCCCCTGAGCGCCTGAGAGGGTCGGGCTGTCAGACAAAACCACGATGATAAGCAAGCCAAGTATGAGGGGCTCTGAGGAGTGCCCGGACAGGCCTGCAGGGTCAGCAACCGCAGGACAAGAGGAATTGAGTACATGTCCCTCTTGTGTTTGTGGCTGAGCTGGTGCTGCCCTCTGGGACAATGTCAACAGTAATACTTTCCTGCCAGTTTGGCTTTGGCTTTGAGTGCAGTCGTGTCTTTGGCAAGGGGGACGCCAGGCAAGCTTACTGACCCTGTGGGAGTACGAAAGCCCTCAGGCGCCACATCCTAAAACCAAGCTGAGAGGTGGCGCTGCCCTCCCACCAGATACTCTGCCCTCAGCAGGGCCATGGCTTGGCTTCCAGGACTCCAGGGCAAAGGTGACTGTGCTCATGCCTGCCAGGCTTCTCCAGGCCTTTATCAGAAGCTTAGGGCCAGCACTCTGCCCTTGATCCTTTCACTCAAAGTCTTCTTAGTGTGGGATCTGAATCTCCCTCCCCTTTCCCAATCTAATCTGCCCAAGGGGAGTCCACACTCCCTCCTCCCCTCCCCATGGCCCAAACCCACAGGACTTCCTCTATACCTGCCAGTTTCTTTCTTTCTTTCTTTCTCTTCCCTTTCTTTCCTTTCTTTTCTTTCTTTTCTTTCTTTTTTTTTTTGAGACAGAGTCTCACTTTGTTGCCCAGGCTAGAGTGAGTGCCATGGTGTCAGCCTAGCTCACAGCAACCTCAAACTCCTGGGCTCAAGCAATCCTCCTGCCTCAGCCTCCTGAGTAGCTGGGACTACAGGCATGTGCCACCATGCCCGGCTAATGTTTTCTATATATATTAGTTGGCCAATCAATTTCTTTTCTATTTATAGTAGAGACGGAGTCTCGCTCTTGCTCAGGCTGGTTTCAAACTCCTGACCTCGAGTGATCTGCCCGCCTTGGCCTCCCAGAGTGCTAGGAATACAGGCGTGAGCCACCTCGCCCGGCCTCTGCCAGTTTCTGAAGGTCACCAGGACCTGCTGGGGCTCATAGATGGCTCCCTTTTCGAACTCCTGACCTTGAGTGATCCACCCGCCTCGGCCTCCCAGAGTGCTAGGATTACAGGCGTGAGTCACCATGCCCAGCTGGCTCCCTTTTAAAATATTATTTTGGGTTGGATCCATGTCCAGAAAGAATGATTGACAAGCCTTAAGAGGGAATGGGAGGTGGGTCCCACCTCCTCTGTCCCACCCAGTCTTAGCTCCTTCACAGGGGCCATCAAGGTCTCCAGGGCCTTATACACAGTGCCCAGCAGTTTACCCAGGAGTGGATGTGTGTGCCTGTCCTTGCTTTTCACCTCAGTGGTCACAAACTCACCCACTTTCTGATGCCAGGCACAGGGGGTGACCTCTTTGTACCCCTACATGGTAGAGCTTCCTTATATCATTTAATGGAAGGGCTTCTCTTCAAGTATGAAACTTCCTTGATGTAACCCATCTCTGATCAGGGACATTTCAGCAGCTTTTATCATTTGCTGGAAGAAACATCAGGCATCAGTGGCTGGTGGCCGCAGTGAGTTACATGGACAGACATCCCATTGGACAAGGAATTATGTGTAGGCAGCATGTTACTGGGGAGAGGAGTGGGCCTTTTGACTTGGAAAGACATTGCTAAATTGCCCTCCAGTGCCTGTGAGTGGCTGCGGACCCTGGCCTCACCTACACCTGGTGACATCAAACATGTTGATCTGATAAGTGTAGGGTAGCATTAGTTCCCTGAGGCTGCCTCTGTTTTTGTTTTTTATTATGGAACTGGGCTCAGATTTCCCAGATTCTGCAAAGGCAGACCTGAGACTGCAGGAGGGGAGGAAGGTGCCAGGGAGGTGGGGGCTGATGGATATAATTAGCAGCAGGAGAACCTCCCTGTGTCCTGAGGCACAGAGAGGGTCAGGGCTGCTTAAGGGCTGCACAGCACTGAGAGGTGAACCTGTCTAAGGTAGAGAGAATGGTGTAACAAATCCAATGTGCCCATCATCCACCTTCAACATTGATAAAGACTTAGATAACTTTTATCTGAACTGCCACCTCTCCCTTGTACCATTATTTGAAGCAAATCCCAGACATCATATTATCTGCAAATTTTCATCATGTCCCACTAAAAGGAGTGTATGTATGTGTGTCTATTTCCACAATACTATAAGTACTCAGTGTAATCAAATATCTAGTCAAAAGTATTTATTTACTATAATTTAATAAATGATATTTATACAGGGATTTTATTCTTTTATGTATTTTGTTTTGTTTTTTAGATGGAGGTCTCCCTGTGTTGCCCAGGCTGGTATCAAACTCCTGGGCTCAACCAATCCTGCTTCAGCCTCCCAAGTATCTGGGATTACAGGCATGTGCCACTGTGCCCAGCAATATAGGATTTTTTTTAAAAAAATCAGGATTCAGATGGGGTTCATACTTTCCAAATTCATAGAGATGTTTCTTTTTCTTTTTTCTAAATAACAGCTTTGAGATATACACATACCACCCAATTTATCCATTTGAAGTGTACACTTCTACATTTTTTAGTATATTTACATAGTTCACAACGTCAATTCTTCCATTCCCCCACCCCACCTCAGCCCTAGTCAACCACCAGTTTGCTTCTGTCTCTATGGATGTGCTAGTTCTGGAATCATACAATATGTGGTCCTTTGTGACTGGCTTCTCTCATTAAGCTTGGTGTTTTCAAGGTGTGTCCATGTTGTAGGCATGTATCAGAACTTCATTCCTTTTTCTTGCTGAATAATATTCCATCATGTAGAACTATCACATTTTATCGATCCATTCATCAGTTCAGGGACACTTGGATAGCCACATTTTGGCTATTATAAATAATCCTGCCACAAACATTAGCGTACAAGTTTCTGTGTGGACCTATATTTTTAGGTCTCTTGCGTTTATACCTGGGAGTGGAATTGCTGAGTCACAGGGCAACTCTGTTTGATCATCTGAAGAGCTGCCAGACTGTTGTCCAAAGCAGCTCTGCACTTTACCTTCCCACTGGCAAGGTATGAAGGTTCCACTTTTCCCACATTGGAAAAAACTCATTGTATGTGTTTCTTGAGCCTCTTTCAATCTTCAGATTTTCCCTCTGCCTCTCTTTTATTTTCTTTCTAATTCTATTGTTGTCTTGAAGAAACCACTTGTTTGTTCTGGAGAGGAACCCACCATTTGGGTTTTGCTGATTGCATCCCAGTGGTGTCTTTTAACTGTTCTTCTAGCCCTGTATACCCTGTAAGCTTGTATTTATAGTCTACTGACTTAATCAGACTCAGGTTTTAGGTTTTGCTTTTTTGGCAAGACTACTTCATATGTGATGCTGTGTACTTCCAGTAGAAAATATATAATGTCTGATTATCTTTGCTATTTTTGACAAAATAAGTGGTCGACATCATAATCAGATTTCGATGTACTTTTCTCTTACCATGAGTGAGGTTAACATCTCTTCATTTGTTGGAGGGCCATTTATTTCTATTGTTTATTCTGAATGTTTTCTTACACTGCTTATTTCTATTGTGTGGCTACCATATTTGTTTGTAGAAGCCCTCCATTAAGAATGTTGGAGCTGGTGTGGTAGCTCACGCCTGTAATCCTAGCACTCTGGAAGGCCGAGGCGGGCAGATCACTCAAGGTCAGGAGTTCCAAACCAGCCTGAGCAAGAGCAAGACTCCATCTCTACTATAAATAGAAAGAAATTAATTGGCAAACTAAAAATATATACAGAAAAAATTAGCCTGGCATGGTGGTGCATGCCTGTAGTCCCAGCAACTTGGGAGGCTGAGGCAGCAGGATTGCTTGAGCCCAGGAGTTTGAGGTTGCTGTGAGCTAGGCTGACGCCATGACACTCACTCTAGCCTGGGCAACAAAGTGAGACTCTGTCTTAAAAAAAAAAAAGAATGTTGGGGCTGGGCACAGTGACTCACGCCTGTAATCCCAGCACTTTGGGAGGCCAAGGCAGGAGGACTGCTTGAGGCCAGGAGTTCTAGACCAGCCTGGGCAATATAGTCAGACCCCTGTCTCTACAGAAAATAAAAAAATTAGCTGGATGTGGTGTTGTACCCTGTAGTCCCATCTACTCAAGAGGCTGAGGCAGAAGGATCACTTATGTCTGGAAGGCTGCAGTGAGCTATGATTGAGCGACTATACTCAAGCATGGGGAACAGATCAAGACCCTGTCTCTGAAAAATAAAAACAAAAATGTTGCCTTTCTCCACTAAGTGACTTTCAGCTGCCTGCCCACAGGCAGCTGTGCTTTGTACGGCCTCATCACAGCTGCACCTCTCTCGTAGTTCTTCTCACCAAGATCACTCCTTGTTCAGAGGAGCTTTCTGTATATCATTTCTTGCCACCTGGACCATGAGTTCCCGAGGACAGGAACCTTGTCTGTGGGATTCCCACAGTAGTATTGCCTCATGTGACCTGGCACACAGTTCACTGAAAGAACACCCTTGCCCCATCACGTGTATGTGACCATTTGTTTCAGCTCCTAGGGCTGAATGATGGTGGCAAGCCCCAAGGAGCCTCAGTGAGCCTGGTGGGATAGGCTGGGGACAGGCCCAGGAAGGTGGGGGTCGGGGGCAGTGTTACAGGTAGGATGTTTGTAAAGCCAGTGTTTGGGGATCAGAGTCCTTGAGCTGAGCTGAGGATGGCAAGGAGGTGGCAATAACAACAGTCTGGAAGGGCAGCTGATCGGGCAGACCTAACCCTAGTGTCTGTCTCTCTGCCCACAGGTCAGGACTCTGCCAGCCCCATCCGAACCACACGCACCGGGCAGGTTCGAGGGAGCCTCGTCCACGTGAAGGGCACTGATGTGGGTGTCCACACCTTCCTGGGAATTCCCTTTGCCAAGCCACCTCTAGGGCCCCTGCGGTTTGCACCCCCTGAACCCCCCGAATCTTGGAGTGGTGTAAGAGATGGGACCTCCTATCCAGCCATGTAAGTTCTCCCAGACTCCAGGGAACTCCAGGCCCTGGGGTGGAGTGGGGGTAGCCTGAGCTCAGCGAGGCTGCAGTTGTCACTTCACCAAAACCTACAGCCAGTTTTCCCTGTGAGTCTGGGGGGTCCCCACGTGCGTTACTTCAAGAAGCACGCTGAGGCTCGGGAGGGTGGAACAACTTTCCCAGACTCCAGGCTCAGGGCTCAGCACTCCAAGGGCATTAGCTCCAGGTGCTGAAGGGAGGAGCAGAGACATGTACCTCCGAGATTCTAGTTATGCCAGGTGTTCTCTGCCACCGGTGGGAGGCATCTCTGGGAGAGGGTTGGGTTGGTTCTGTGACCTTTATAGGAGCCCCTGACTCTAGTAAGCAGATACTGTAGAGCCCTGAGGAGGGCAGCAGTGGTGGCTCCCTAGGGATCCACACTCTCCACAGTCACTGTGTCAATCGGCAGTGCCAGGTGCCAATGGCCATGTGACACGTGTGTGTTCTTATAGCTGGAGGCTATGTGGGAGTGATGAAGTTCTCTGAGAGTCTAGACTTGGGATAAGGGATATCCCACTGCCCTTCACATGAGAAATTAACATTCATTCATTCTTGAGGTGCATGTATGTGGGCTGTTCCCCTGTTACAGATCTGAGTGGGTACAGAGACATGGTGGTGAATGTCAACACATGCACGGATACAACCAATGGTTGTCACAGAGACTCCTAAGAGTCAAGGTTCCCCAGGTTCAGGAGGTGTGATAGCCAAAGCCCTCCAGAACCCTGAGAGCCAGGCACCATGGTCAAGCTCCATCCCAGCTTTCCCAGAGCCTTTGGCCTGTAACTGGGTGGGAAGGGACTTTAGAAGAGAATCACATGTAAGCAGGGTGTCAAGGAGAAGAGGGCTACTGGTGGCTGGGAGCAAATCTGGACCCAGGGTCTGGTTTTAGCCACAGCACAGCCCCTGAACTATCTGCTTCGGCCAACAGGTGTCTGCAGGACTTCACTATAACAAATGAAGAGTCTTTGTACATGTTCAATATGACTATGCCTTCTATCCCCGTGTCCGAGGACTGTCTGTACCTCAACATCTACACACCTGCACATGCCCATGAGGGATCTCACCTGCCTGTGAGTGTCAGGCCACAGTCATCTGGAGGAAGGGAGGACATTTCTTCTGCAGTATCAGCTTGGGCCATGCCGCAGGCTGCACCTTATTGAGAACCCTTTCGCTATCAGGTTCAAGAAGTGCTTTTTACCCAGAGTGGGCAGCTGGCCTCTGGGCATAGGGTTGCAGATCTCTGGTTGCTCCCAGAGGTCAAAGGCTGTGCTTGGGATGGACCCAGGACTCATTCAATGAACCCACTCAGGTGCCTGAGGGCTGCACTTTGAGGTCACGAAAGACCCAGCCATGGATCTTGTGTTGGGCCTATGAGAACAGAGGACATTTTTTATTAATGTTCCTATGGAACAATCAGGAAGACACCTCTTTTGTTTTCACCTCGGTGAGGGTTCTGCGAGTAGTAGAGCCATGCTTTGGAACATAAGTTTGGGAGGCCTGGTTTTGGGTCCCTCCCTGTGGCCCAGGTCATGAGGTCTTGCTGCAGTTCTCTCTGTGTGGGGAGGTGGGCAAAGCAGTGGCTCGTCTGCAGCAGCCCTGGTGGGACATGGGCTGGGAGGGAGCCATGCAGTGTCTGCCTTGGTTTCCACAGGTGATGGTGTGGATCCATGGTGGAGCATTTGTCATGGGCATGGCTTCCATGTATGATGGCTCCATGCTGGCAGCCTATGAGGACGTGGTGGTGGTCATCATCCAGTACCGCCTGGGTGTCCTGGGCTTCTTCAGGTGAGACTGGGGCTGGGCCGGGCCATGCGGGCTGAGTAGAGCCAAGACAGTCCTGTGATCCGTGTCCCTGCCACTTCCCAGCACTGGAGACAAGCACGCAACTGGCAACTGGGGCTACCTGGACCAAGTTGCTGCTCTGCGCTGGGTCCAGCAGAATATCGCCCATTTTGGAGGCAACCCAGACCGTGTCACCATTTTTGGCGAGTCTGCAGGTGGCATAAGCGTGTCTTCACATGTTCTGTCCCCCATGTCCCAAGGACTCTTCCATGGTGCCATCATGGAGAGTGGTGTGGCCCTATTACCTGGCCTCATCACCAACTCATCTGATATGGCCTCCAGGGTGAGTGCCCTCAGACGTGGAAGTCCAGACCTGCTGCCCTGTCACCTCCCTCTCAGCACCTCTGTCTCTTAGACGGATAGAGCAAGGACCATCAGAGTGCCTCGGGAACTGCTACCTACCCGGAGATTCCTGAGGGAGTCAATGGTCAAAACCATACAGCTCTGCCATTACTGAGGCTGGGTACATTCTGTGGCCTGCAAAGCTGCCACCCAAGGGGTTCCCCATCGTGGGCAGAACCATCGAGGAAGTTGGAACAATTTCAAAACTGCAGGAATCAGCTGGGCATGGTGGCTCACGCCTGTAATCCTAGCTCTCTGGGAGGCCGAAGCGTGAGGATTGCTCGAGGTCAGGAGTTCGAAACCAGCCTGAGCAAAAGCAAGACCCCGTCTCTCCTATAAATAGAAGGAAATTAATTGGCCAACTAATATATATAGAAAAAATTAACTGGGCATGGTGGCGCATGCCTATAGTCCCAGCTACTGGGGAGGCTGAGGCAGCAGGATTGCTTGAGCCCAGGAGTTTGAGGCTGACGCCACGGCACTCACTCTAGCCTGGGCAACAAAGCAAGACTCTGTCTCAAAAATAAATAAATAAATAAATAACTGCAGGAATCTATACACACTACCCTGTGAGATTTGGGGTGCCCCTGCCCCCAGCCAGGGCATTGGTCAAACTCCTCTCCCCTACCCGGAAGGATGAGCCACCCCCTGCCTGGTCCCTTTACAGGTAGCCAACCTGTCTGCCTGTGACCAGGTTGACTCAGAGGCCCTGGTGGGCTGCCTGCGGGGCAAGAGTGAAGAGGAGATTCTGGCTATTCACAAGGTCAGGCTAAATGGATGCAGGTGTGGACGAAAGGGCAGGTGAGGTATGGGGCAGGTGGCTGGGTGTCCTCGCACTGCCCGGGCAAGTTCCCTCATCTCCATGCCTTGGTGTCCACATAGTCATGGATGAAATGAAGGCCAGGGCAAGCTAACCTGGTGCAAGATCTCCCGGGTGGACGTGAGCATCCTGGGATGAGCCAGGACAGGGCGGAAGGCACTCAGAGGGCATCAGAAAACGTCTGGGAGCCTACCTGGCTCCCTGACCTTACACGCCCCCTCAGGCCTTCGATATCATGCCCGGCGTGGTGGATGGGGCTTTCCTGCCCAGGCACCCCCAGGAGCTGCTGACCTCTGCCGACTTCCAGCCTGTCCCCAGCATCATTGGCGTCAACAATGATGAGTATGGCTGGATAATCCCCAAGGTGAGGCCCAGTCCTGAGGCCTCAGATGCCCAGGGAGCCCATCTGCTACAGGAGAAGGGCTCAGGGCTTAGCAGCTCCATGCCCACCCCACACCCAATTAACGACTCTCCTCCACCACCCAGTTCATGGGCCTCTATGACACCCAGAGGGAAATGGACAGAGAGGCCTGGAAGGATGTTCTGCAGAAAACATTCAAACAGATGGTGAGGCCCTGGGGTCCTCTCCCAGTGGAGAAGGGCTTTTCTCCTCCCTCAGGCAGGGAAACCCAGATGTCCTGCCCAAGCAGTGACCCCCTGAGCAATAGCCAGGGTATGTGTGTGTTGGGGGTGGGGTGCCACCTCAGAGCTTAGTCCTTTGCCCCCATTCCCTGTTCCATCCCATGGCCCATCTCCCCAGCCCTGAGGATGCTGCCTCCCTGCCTCTGGCATCCAGCCTAGCCTGCCCCTTCCTGATCCACCTGGGGTAGGTGTCACCTCATGAGTTTGCTGACCTGTTGATGGAGGAGTACATCGGGGACAGCAAGGACCCTCAGACTCTCCAAGCCCAGTACCAGGAGCTGATGGCCGACTCCATCTTCGTGATCCCTGCACTCCGAGTAGCACATTCTCAGAGTGAGTATATTTGTACCTAAGGCCTGACTGGCAAGGGGGCTCAGAGCTGGGGTCCCAGGTCTGTCGGTGTCCACATCACCACCCGCATCTTTCTTGGGCCCCTGGGAACCAGGCACTTGATGTAAATCCTCACGGCTCATCTAAGAGCCAGACATTCTCCATTTTATGGGTGAGAAAACTGAAATTACTGACCTTCAGTGACTCTCCCAAGACCACCCAGCTAGGAAGTCCAAGGCCGTGATTTAACCCGGCCCTTCCCACTGCTCCTGCTCCAGCCCGGGGGCTCCCCATCCCATTGTCTAGATTCTAGCCAGCTTTGGACCTGGGTGTCTTGTCACCATGAGTGACATAGGAAAGCTCCAAGTGGGGGGCTGCCATGTCACAGCCTGTCTACCCCTGTAGGGTCCCGTGCCCCTGTCTACTTCTATGAGTTCCAGCATCGGCCCAGCTTCTTCAAGGACACCAAGCCACCACAGGTGAAGGCCGACCACGGCGATGAGATCTTCTTTGTTTTGGGAACCTTATTCTGGGGCAAATACAGTGAGTCTTTCTCCTTCCCCAGGAGGTGGGATGGGACCTGGGCTGGGTCCCTGAGGGGTGACTGCCCTCACTGTACCAAAGAGGAAACCAAGGCTGCGAGAGAGGACAATGGGATGAGGTGTCCTAGATCTTACAGATCCAAAGGCTGAGCCAGGATTGGAATCCAAGACTCCTTAGACTGTGGCCAGTGCTCCCCCCACCACTCCCCACCCCGAGATGGGTATCTGGCATGGGTGCAGGGCTGGGAGGGGTGTTTGAATCAAAGGCGTATTTGATTCTTAAATGACTCCCAGTATGAGAAGGAAGAACAGGCCTTCTGGGCCAGCAGTGAGCCCAGGGTCCAGTCAGCCAGAGGCTGGGCTGAGGAAAGAGCGTGGGAGGGCATCAGGGGAGGGGCAGAGGAGCAGACCTGGGGGTGCCAGGGACAGCTGCACCTGGATGGTGAGAGTGGTGAGTGACCCGGCAGTTGGACTGGGGTGGGCCCTGACCTGGACACGTGTCCTCTTCCTCTGTGCAGTTGAAGTCACTGAGGAGGAGGAACTTCTGCGAAGAAAGATGATGAAATACTGGGCCAACTTTGCTCGAAATGGGTGAGATGGTGGCCCCACCTCCACTCCCCGGGGGGCTCAGCCATCTAGCACTCCCCTTGTCCGTGGTGAGCTCAGTAGCATACATGTGTGCCTAATCACATGATAGCTCCCCAGCTCCAGGACCCACTCACACGGCAGGGGCTCATAGGCGCAGGACACCCCTTCCATCCCCAGCCCCACCTGGAGCTTGGGCACAGTGCTGAGTTCCCACCAGGGTCTGTCTGGAGAGGCAAAACAGACCTGCCCTGCCCCATTCGGAGCTGACACTAGTGGGGGGTAGTTTCTTTCCTGTATCTAGAAACCTCCCCCTCCTTCCACAGGCCCACCTGGCCTGCTTGGCTGCCTTGCCTGACCCAGTCAGGGTGAGCGCTCGGGTCTGGGCTGGGCAGGGCTTGGAGTGACCTGCACACTCCCTGGTGGGAGTGCATGTCTGCAGGGACCCCAACGGCGAGGGTCTGCCCCAGTGGCCCGTGTTCGACCAGGAGGAGCAGTACCTGCAGCTGGACATACAGCCTGCAGTGGACAGGGCCCTGAAGGCCCACAGGCTCCAGTTCTGGATGGAGACCCTGCCCCAGAAGATTCAGGAGCTAACAGTGGCTGAGGAGAAGCATACGGAGCTGTAGCTCCTGTGTTGGGTAGCGAGGGGGTGGGCACCAGTGCGGTGGGGTCTGCCTCGTGTGCCCACCCACAGCCACCGAGAAGCCAGCAGTTGATTCCATCCCTCACATAGCCATTCATTCATTCTTCCACGTGTCCACTCAGGAAACATTTATTAAGAACCTAATGTGTGATGTTAGTTGTCAAGCCAGCCACGGGTCTTCTCTTTTTAGACATAGTCAATGAATCCCCCAAGGAGCAGTGCAGGGGCACAGCCTTGAGGAAGCCCACCCTCCCCAGCGCTCCACTGGGCTCTGGACTCCATCCTCCCCTCCTCTCCTCCACCTTCTCCCCACCCACCCTCTCCTTTCCTCAGAGCCCCCAGGCCTGCCCCAGTTGGAAGGAGGTGCTTTGGGGAATGTTGCCCACACCTGTGTGTCAAAAGCTGATCTCCACCACAATTCACAATTGCAAAGATATGGAAACAACCCAAGCGCCCATCAATACATGACTGGATTAATAAAATGTGGTATATGTATACCATTGAGTACTACTCAGCCACAAAAAACAATGGTGATCTAGTACTTCTTGTAGTATCCTGGATAGAGCTGGAGCCCATTCTACTAAGTGAAATATCACAAGAATGGAAAAACAGGTATCACATGTACTCACCATCAAGTTGGTACTAATCGATCAACACTTATGTGCGCATATGGAAGTAACATTCATAGAGTGTCGGGCAGGTGGGAGGGGGAAGGAAGGGATGGGTAAATTCACACCTAATCGGTACGGTGCACACTGGGGGTGGGCATGCTTGTACCTCTGACTCTGGTGATGCAAAGGCAATACATGTAATCTAAACATTTGTACCCCCGTAATATTCTGGGAAATAAAAAAGCCGATGTCCACCTCTTCCACAAGCCCCATGTGCCCTCATATCCATAAGTGGCCAACAGAAAACCTGGACACCAGAAGCCCTAATATCTTGGTCCATTCAAGCTGCTGTAACAGAAATACCATACACTGGGTGCCTTATAAATGACAGAAATTTGTTGCTCACATTTCTTGAAGCTGGGAAGTCCAGGATCAAGGTGCCAGCAGATCTGGTTTCTGGTGAGGGCTTGTTCTCCAGTTCATAGATGGCACCTTCTCACTTTGTCCTCCCATGGTGGAAGGGGCGAACAAGCTCCCTAAGGCCTCTTTTATAAGGGCACTGATCCCCCTCAGCGCTTAACAGTCCCATCTCTTAAACCATCACATTGGGGATGAAATTTCAGCCTATGAATTTTCAGGGGACACAGACGTTCAGATCATAGTATCCAGAGCTCCTGGATCTCAGCCACTGAGGTTACCAACCACTGGAAATGTAAAACTTCCTGTCCCTACTTATTGTCCCCCTAGACTAAATGTCACCCATCATTGAAATGTAAAGCAACCCAGCCACTCCCCTGTGTCTCCCAGAGGTGACCAACCCTTTTTTGTGAGAAGTAGGACCGGGCTTGCCCACAGGCCACTGGAGCCAGGGCTGGCCCTGCAGAGGGCAGGATATCCAAGCAGGTCCCTCACTCACCCATCTCCTGACCGTCGCTCTCATTCTCAGTGGTTCTGCAGACACGGTGGGGCCTGCACTTACATGATTACAGCACACCCTGGAAGATGTTTGTCTGTCGGGGTGTCCTGGAAGTGAGATTGAGGGATTAGAAGGTCCAGGCATTGGAGAACACAGTTGTCTATACACTTATCTCCCTAAAAAAACACTCTTATATTTTATCTCAGTATGCAAAGGTGGCAAATTGTATCCCATCTGCCTGTTTGTTCCCCCAAATCACTTATCTCTGTCATTAAGTGGCTGTATCCCTTATCCCATATATCCTAGCACCCTAGCACTGCCCCTATGCCCCTACTTCTGACCTACTTGCCCTCTCAGGGCACCAGTTTTGTTTTGTTTTCTTTTCTTTTTCTTTCTTTTTTTGTGAGTCTTATTTATTTATTTAGAGACAGAGTCTCACTCTGTTGCCCAGGCTAGAGTGCCCTGGCATCAGCCTAGCTCACAGCAACCTCAAACTCCTGGGCTCAATCAATCCTTCTGCCTCAACCTCCCAAGCAGCTGGGACTACAGGCAGGTGCCACCATGCCTGGCTAATTTTTTCTATGTATATTTGTAGTTGTCCAGCTAATTTATTTCTATTTTTTTAGTAGAGATAGGGTCTCACTCCTGCTCAGGTTGGTCTCAAACTCCTGAGCTCAAACGTTCCTCCTGCCTCGGCCTCCCAGAGTGTTCAGATTACAGGCATGAGCCACCGCGCCCGGTATCAGTTTTCCCAGGGGGAAATTCCTCCTTTCCATCCACTGCATTTAAGCTCAACCACAGGGCCTCATGTAGTCTGGGCTGAAAAGTGAAGTGTCCTGCATTGCCCACTCTGGCCACCAGGTGGCAGCCAAGGATAACGTTAAGCCTGGGATGGCTCGAATTAGAGAGAGGGAAGAGAAGCTCCTTTTAGTGACCACTGACTGGCACCTAATGTTTCCACTGCACCCTGAAAGTATTTATTGTGCACTTCCTGCATGCACAACATGCCTCTATATGTTTTTCATTTCTGCAGTTGCACAGTATACTTTCCTAGAGTGGGTTCCCAGGACTACTTTTTAGGCTTTTAATAGTTATTTTTTAACAGCTTTTCTGTGGAACAATTTACATTACAATTAAATTCCCCCGTTTTAGGTATACAGTTTGATAACTTTGAGTAAAGGTATAAGACATACAACCACCACCACGTCAAGTTTGAGAATGTTTGTATCACTCCAGAAAGTTCCCTCGTGGCTTCTTTGCAGTCAGATTCTGATCCCAGGCAACCACCAAGTTGCCTTCTGTTGCTGTAGTTTGCCTTTTCAAAAATAACCTATAGGTCGTTCCCTTTCGCTGATGCAAGAGCCTAGTGCGGTGGTGGGAGAGGTATCGGCAGGAGCCTCGCTGCCGCCGGGGCCTGGGGCTGACCAGTCCAACTTCCCGTCCGTGCCGAGCCCAGCCGAGCCGCAGCCATGTCCGGGGACGAGATGATTTTTGATCCTACTATGAGCAAGAAGAAAAAGAAGAAGAAGAAGCCCTTTATGTTAGATGAGGAAGGGGATGCCCAGACAGAAGAAACCCAGCCCTCAGAAACAAAAGAAGTGGAGCCAGAGCCAACTGAGGACAAAGATGTGGAAGCTGATGAAGAGGACAGCAGGAAAAAAGATACTTCTGATGATCTAGATGACTTGAACTTCTTTAATCAAAAGAAAAAGAAGAAAAAAACAAAAAAGATATTTGATATTGATGAAGCTGAAGAAGGTGTAAAGGATCTAAAGATTGAAAGTGATGTTCAACAACCAGCTGAACCAGAGGATGACCTTGACATTATGCTTGGCAATAAAAAGAAGAAAAAGAAGAATGTCAAGTTCCCAGATGAAGATGAAATACTAGAGAAAGATGAAGCTCTAGAAGATGAAGACAGCAAAAAAGACGATGGTATCTCATTCAGTAACCAGACAGGCCCTGCTTGGGCAGGCTCAGAAAGACACTATACATATGAGGAGTTACTGAATTGAGTGTTCAACATCATGAGGGAAAAGAATCCAGATATGGTTGCTGGAGAGAAAAGGAAATTTGTCATGAAACCTCCACAGGTCATCTGAGTAGGAACCAAGAAAACTTATTTTGTTAACTTCACAGATATCTGTAAACTATTACATCGTCAGCCCAAACATCTTGCATTTTTATTGGCTGAATTGGGTACAAGTGGTTCTATAGATGGTAATAACCAGCTTGTAATCAAAGGAAGATTCCAACAGAAACAAATAGAAAATGTCTTGAGAAGATATATAAAGGAATACGTCACTTGTCACACATGCCGATCACCAGACACAATCCTGCAGAAGGACACCCGACTCTATTTCTTACAGCGCGAAACTTGTCATTCTCGATGCTCTGTGGCCAGTATCAAAACCGGCTTTCAGGCTGTCACGGGCAAGTGAGCACAGCTCCGTGCCAAAGCTAACCAATTTGCTAATCACCACCGATTTTGCAAAGTGTGTTGTGGAGATTTGGCTGGACGGTTTGCCATCAGAGTGGATATACCATTATATTAAAAACAAGATAAAAAGCTGCCAAGTTCTTTGGCGAGTGGTTGGTTGGTCTGAAATCCTTGCAAGATGCTGATGCTCAAGCTGTTGACATACTCATTGCCTACTTTAACACCTGTCAGAGAGACATGATATGGGGTAAGGAGGTGCTTTTTAAAAATCGTTCATAGACTTCTGTAAAATGCAAGATAAATTAAAGTTATTATAACAGTGAAAAAAAAAGAACCTATAAATGGAATCATTTGTGACTGGCTTCTGTCACTTAGCATCATGTTTTCTGATTCAACATGTAGCTTCTTCCTTTTCTCACTGAGTAGTATTCCATGTATGAATATACTCCATTTCATCCATGTGCCAGTTGATGCACATTTGAGTGATTACCATTTTGTGGCTATTTTTAATAACAATGCAGTGAACATTTTCAGACAAGTCTTTGTGTGGACAAATGCTTTCATTTCTTTGGGGGTGGAAATCTGAGAGTGGAACTGCTAGATCATATGGCCAGTATGTTTAACGTTTAAAGGAAATGCCAAATTGTCTTCCCTAATGATTATATTATCTTTGCACCACCCCCCCCACCAACCACCTGTGAGGGTTGCACTTGCTCCATGTCCTCACCAACGCTGGGTCATGCTGGGTCTTTGGGGTCTTAAATTTGATTGTTTTTTGTTTGTTTTTGTTTATCAGATTTATTTATTTTTAAGTATTTCATGTTTTTTTTCCAGCATATTGTGGGGGTATAAATGTTAAGGTTACATATATTGCCCTTCCCCCCCCCCATCCAATTGTTTTTAATGGGTGTGTAATGGTATTTCCTTGCAGTTGTTTCCCTGGACGTTTAGCCTCTGCTTCCATCTTTCTGTCTGTCTGTCTGTCTCTCTATATATGTAGATAGATGATATATATGTGGTTTTTCCACACACACACACACACACACACACACACTGACTCCTGAGACTCTTCCTTTCTCCATTTCACATTTGTACCACTGCCTCAGTCATCATCAATGTCAGGACCTCTGATCCACGCGGCCACTAGGGGCAGAGCACACGAGGACCTGCACCCCAGCGGCTGTGAACAGCAGGCCCGGGATTAGGGAGAAGCTCTCTGTTGCCCAGTTAACACAAAGGAGCTTTGTACACACCCCTGAGCTGGGAGAGCTGGGGACCTCTTAGCACCCACGGCCCAGGGATTGATTAGGTCATGAGCACTAAGGGCAGAGAGAGCATCTGCCCAGATAGGGGGCTGGAGCATGGCTCAGGCCCGAGTGTGTTAGGTGGGAGACACTGAACTGACAACAGGCCTTGCGGATGGGGTAGAGATCAAGAACAACTACTGGGAGAGACTGGAAGGAGAGGAAGTGGAGACAGCAAAATTGGATGATTTTAGCTTTGCTAGAAACAAGA